AAATGGAGCTTACCAGGAGGAGATTGATAGTTTTACCGTATATAATTTATTAGTGCAGAGACTTGACTAAAAAGATTGCCATCGATGGGAGAGGAGGGTGTACATGCGAGTGGAGAAAGGAGTAGATAAACGTGGAGAAGCAAAGGTAGGAAGTAGGGATTGTGGGATAGTTAGTTTAGTGAGGGAAAGTTGGTGGAATCGAGCATAACATCGGAGAGAGAGAAGGGCATGACGTCGAGATAGAGATGGTATACCTGATTCAGTGTACGGGTTCTCGAATGGAGAGGAGTGGAAGGTGCCTAGTGCTAAGCGAAGACCATAGTGATGGATTGTATCAAGATGGACAAGGAGAGAAGTTGAGGCAGAGGAGTAGATATGGCATCCGTAATCAAGAGTGGAGAGGATCAAGGTAACATGAAGATGAAGGAGAGTTTTGCGATCTGATGATATATGGGATAGAGTTTTTAAGATTCGAAGACGGCTGAGAGCTTTTTCTTTAATGTAAAGAATATGGTTTTGCCAGGACAGTTTGGAGTCAAAAATGACACCTAGGAATTTGCCAGAGGAACGGTATTGGAGTGGAGTGCCATATAAGAAGAGTGGAGGTAGGGGACCTACACGTGTGCACGAGAAAAGGATGGAGAATGATTTGGAGGTAGAAAAGCGGAAGCCATGGTTTGTGGCCCAGGAAGATGCTGATGAGATTACAGACTGAAGAAATTGGTAGAGATTTGGTATGGATGTGCCAGAGGCATAGATGGTTAAATCATCAACATATAGTGATGACCGGGCTCCTGGTGGTAAAACTGAGACAATATCATTAACATCAAGAAGGAATAAAGTGGTACTGAGCGCACTACCTTGTGGGACACCTTCGATTTGAGGAAAGAAAGATGATGTGGCAGAGGCAATTTTGACTTGAAAAGTGCGTTGGGAGAGGAAAGACTTTATGAAGACACTTATGTTTCCACGTATGCCTAGAGAGGACAATTGTTGGAGAATATGGTACTGCCATGTTGTATCATATGCAATCAAAAAGTATAGCTAGTATGGATTCAAGGCGTGCAAATGCAGATGTAATATATGTCTCAAAATGAGCAAGGGGGTCAGCTATGCTTTGGGCACGACGAAAACCAAATTTGGAATGAGAGAGAAGATTCGAGATACCACATTAAGCGGAAGTTCACCATTCGCTTAAATAGTTTGCACAAGCAGCTAGTTTCAGGTAGGGAAGGATAAGAGCTTCTCGCCAATTTGAAGGAAAATTTCCTGATGTCCATATGTGGTTGTAAATTTTTAATAGGAAGGATAAGTAGGAAGATGGGAGTTGCCAGAGCATATGGTAGTGAATACCGTCAGGGCCTTCAGGAGTGTTGCGGCACGATTGTAGGGCAGCATTGAGTTCAGAGGGAAAAAAAGGAGCATTATAGGACTCTGCGGAGGATGGGGTGAAGATATTGGGGGTACGTTCTCTGATGGTCTTAACAGAAGAGAAGTATGGTCTTAATAGAAGAGAAGTGTGGAGAAAGGTGAGAACCACTACTGATCTGGTTGAAATAATCACCCAGTTCATTAGTGACTTGGAGAGGATCAGAAATGAGGGCATCTCGAATATGGAGGACGGGGGCTGGATGGGGAGGATGTTTGCCTGATAGTTTATGGATTCAGTACCAAACATTTGAGATAGATGTAGAGGATGTAATTGGTGAAACAATTTCGCCAGCTATTTGCTTTACTATTCCGGATTGTATGATAAAGACAGGCAGATGCTCTTTTAAAGGAGATAAGGGCTGATAGTTGATTTGGAGTACCCCTCTTGTAGCAGTAACTGTTCCAGTCTGCACGTTATAAGCGAAGTGCTTTAGTGCAATCAGAATTCCACCAAAGAACACATTTGGAGGTATAGGGTCTTGAAGTTCGAGGGATAGCTGTATGAGCAACTCTTAGGACTGTAACTGTGAAACACTATCATTTCTGAAATGGATGAGAGGGAGGATGGAGGGATATGAATAGCAGAGAGTGAAGTGAAAGTACGCCAGTCGGCTCTATCAAAGCACCAGCGTGGGGAATTAGGAAGTGATACATATGAAGTAGGAGAAAGAAGAACTGGAAAGTGGTCACTATAGGGAAAGTGGTCTAGAACTGACCAGTGGAAATCTAAATGAAGAGAAGGGGAGCATAGAGAGAGGTCAATGCATGAAAAAGATTGCGTGCATGTATCAAAGTATGTGGGGTGATCTGAATTTAGAATAGTAAGGTCAGCTGTGGAGAAGAATCGCTCTAGAGATCGGCCTCGGGAGTTGGTGATAGAATCACCCCAAAGAGCGTGGCGGCAGGTAAAATCACCAACTATGAGGAAAGGTGGTTGAAGTTGGGAAAATACATTTTCAAAAGCAACAAAGTCAATGGGGTGGGAAGGGGAGAAGTAGACTGAAATCACTGTGATCCAGCAACGAAGAAAGATGCAAATAACTGTGCAAGGGACAGTGGTTTGAAAGGGAGGTATGACATAAGGTGTTTTCTGATAAGTATAGACGAGACATAAATGGAGTGTGGGGAAGAGACAAGATGATAATTGGGGATTGGTATTGGAGGATGTGTAAGAAAGGTCTCTTGAAGGCATACAATAGATGGGTTATAAGAGGAAAGGATATGACGAAGGTCGGGTCTGTGAGAGCGGAAACCGCGAATATTCCAATGAAGGATAGTTATACTTTCGTTGATTTAGTGATATAGACTGTAGGACGTGTTGGGGAATTTGAAGGGGAAGCAGCTAGAGGGTGGGATAAGGACTGAGAGGTCTGAGAGGGGGGAGGTGTGGGAATTGGTGTTCTATCAAGAGGGGTATCAGGAGGTGGAGGGTCTGAGGAAGGGGATACTTGTGATATAAGGAATTCACGTGTGTATCCAGGGAGGAGTGGATAGAGGGGATGGTGGGAGGGTTAATGTGGGTGGGGCTAGGGTGTAGGGGGATATCGTTAGGAGGAGGATGGATATCGACAGTCACTTGGAGTGTGGAAGGAGCAGGAGTTGTAGGATTTGAAGGTTGATGAGTGTCAGTTTTCATTAAGTAGTCTTGAATATTTTCAAGAGTTTCTTCAATGGAGTTGGTTGGGGAGTTTTGTGGGATAAAGGATTTCTTGTGAGGGGGGGGGAAGAGAGACTGGTGTCTGGAGAGTAGGGGCAAAGGAAGGTGGAGGTGATTGTGTGGTAGGGGAGGAGGAGGTGGAGCGTTTGTTCTGTCTGTTACGGGTAGTGCGGGGAGGGAGAGGGGAAGGTGTTGGGGTTGTAGTGGAGATTGGAGTGTCTCGTAGAGATTGGAGTGTCTGGATTTAGGTTGGCAAAAGAGTTTGACTGGGGAAGGTAGGAGGTAGAAGAAGGGGGGTGGGGTTAGATAGAGGGGGGTGGGGTTAGATAGAGGGGGGGTGGGGTTAGATGGAGGGGGGATAGGTTTAGGAGAAGTGGTAAAATGAGCAATATTACTGGAGTAGTTAGTAAGAGAAAAACCTCGTCGACGCACTTCCTGTCTGGCTTCACGTAGTGCGAGTCCAAGTCTGAGTCTGAGAGTTGCTATCTCAGGTGGGGCAGCCCCTATAAAATACATTATGGGGGCTGCCACATGTACGTGTCCATACATGTCCATACATGTCCATACATGTCCATACATGTCCATACATGTCCATACATGTCCATACATGTCCATACATGTCCATACATGTCCATACATGTCCATACATGTCCATACATGTCCGTATATATATATATATATAAATAGGGGGGAGAAGTACGGTGATTCGTTTTTTTTACACATTACCTTGAGCCTCTCTCCCTCCTATGCGAACCCTCCCTATCATACCTCCACAGCCTGAAATGTTTACCAATTTTCGAGAGTGACGGCGACACGCATGGCAGGTCAGAGGCAAGTAGTTCTTTATGTAGTTATGAATGAAACGCTTTTTCCCTTCGCATTTTATTATCACAGAATGGGCAATATATTTGATATATATCTTATATTAGGTCATAACATGTTAGTAGAAAATAAAAATAGTTAAATGAAGTTAAAACTTTTTTTTTATATCAAATAATACTAATCCATACATAAAATAACAGAAAACGTAACTAAAGTCTGCTGTTAGCATTATAAATCGAAAAATGAGTTACGTAGTATGAACGTTATGAAGACATTAGGAACGACAGCATAACATAATAACGTTTATCAATTGAATGACTATTATAATGCCATTATTATGAAAGGACATTGACGGCCAGACAGCGGCGACAAAGAATCTAACAGTCCAGACTAAACATGACACAAACGCTAATGACCACAGTGGCGGGTCCCGCAAGAGCCCAGTGATGATCAGTTTACCGTTGACTTGCTGGGTCCGCCACGGGAGCGGTAGCACTCCATGCACATGTACACAGCCTGCACCACGGCCTGGAAAGGAAGGGGCAGGTTAGGGAGAACGAAAGACGAGACAACGCCGAAAGCAAAAAAATTAATTGTCCAAATGATATGAAAACACAGCATGTACTTCAGCTTTTAAGTCAACACAATAACATTGTGAGCGTAATGACAAATAGCCTCTATTTCCATATGAAACCGATATTATCCTGTTGTGGTTATCGCCCGTATTTGTAATGTTTAAAACACATTACCTACCAAACTTGCAGGCAGAAGTGCAGTCACGGTGGTTGAGGTGGCGAAGTTGACGTACTCGGCCATCATGCCAGCATAAAAAGGTCCTAACATTTCCCTGCGTGTTTAAGGGGAGGGCTGAAATCAGTCATGTGGTCCTCTATGCCGTGCCATACATTTCAATTTTCATGAATGGCAGAGGAAACGTGTCTAAGTAGGACACCGTCATCGAAAGTATAATCGCCAAATTGCACGTTTTAGATACTTCATTAAAAAAAAAAATTGTGTCACATTATATATACAGTACTAGAGACCAATTTGTACTGTCCAGGTATTATCAGCTTACCCAAGAGAGTATGCAGCAGACCACATGCCGCCCACCAGTGAGAATGTTGTGACGTCCACTGTGCCATCCTCGCTGCAGAGAATAGCGATATAGTATTATAAACTGAAAACGATATCTCAGTAATTCTAGTAAACAATTCTGTGTACCGGAAAGCCCACAGGAAAACGGAAATAAATAAAATGAATGAAAAAGTTACCCGAGGACGTAAAGAATGGAGGCAAAGGTGGGCACAATGGACATGGCAGAGGCGAGGCCAATCACCACAACGGCTACAACATCTTGCTTATACAGCCTGAAGAAAAATTGTAAGTTAAGTTGTATATGAAATACAAATTACGGCTGTACTGTCGCAAAACTCTTTCTTTGCATGTAACATACATATCATGGGTCACGTTCGGCAGCAAAGGAGAATTGCCAATCAGAATGAGAGCCAGTGCCAGGAGCAGCAGGCCCGCCAACATGAAGCTCAAGGGGCATTTGTAGCGGTCTGTGGCCAATCCCACCAGCGGGGAGGACACGGCGTACACGGCGGACATGAGCAAGAACACCAGGCCAACGCCCTCCACTGACACCCCCAGCTGCAGGAAGACCGACGCTGTTATTTCCTCCAACAGTCAGACACTAAAGGCTCTTGGAGCTGAGGTAATAGGCCCTTGGATGCATCAATATTAGGTCAAATATATATTCAATTTACGAAAACCAATGAAGGCAACTGACGCCATGCATATGCGGTTGCAGCGTAGGGTAGAGCACAGCCAGACACACTGCTGTCACGCTCAAGATGGCCAGCGGCAGCACTGCCCCTGGGCGCCTCAAGATCGAAGTTAGTCCCATGGCCCCACTCACTGGCGCCAGCTCTGCGTCTGGCAGATCATTAAAAAGGGCTGTTAAAATCGACTCAAACATATTCAGTCTACTTCTGTATAATCAATGCAGTCTAAACCTACATGCCAAGTGACTATTAGATTGTTACCAGTAAACTCCGACGAGACCTCAACACGCTTTGGGAAGGTCAGCATGTTGACGGGCACAGTCAGGAGTATGAAGCTGCCGAGGCCGTAGAAGGGGAGGCAGAAACCCCCAAGCTGTGGGAAGGACTCCGGATTTATTGGAAGGTCTGCCATAGAACGTGATTAGTGACACTATATTAGGTTCCAAGAGGAAAAATGAAAAATCAAGAACCTTAGATACAAAAACAGACTAACTGAGTAGAGCCAAACGCCGACGGCTGGCCCCACGCACATGCCCACACCAACGGCGGTCTCCAGCATCCCGTTCACCGTGTTCATGTCATCTGCGGAGCACACACACACATATAAATATATATATATATATATATATATATATATATATATTATATATATATATATATATATATATATATATATATTATATATATATATATATATATATAA